GTGTGTGTGTGTGTGTGTGTATCTGTAGGAAAATCTTTAACACTTATAAAATAGATATATACAGTTAAAAGTCTAAAATGTATGCCCTCTTTTTCAAGGTGTCCAGTGGGCAGGATTAAAGTCTTTGTCAGGCCAACACTAGTCCCAAGGCCTTATGTTTGACACCCCTAATTTATAAGGTCGTTGAAATCTGCAGACAGCTGAGACTGAAAAGCTCACTTAAATGAGTTTATGAATGTTTCTTCCACTAAAAACACTATAAACAGATGAACAGAATCAACTTTTTAGGAGGTTGTTACAAGAATGATTGTGCATGCATCACACTAAACAGTCCATTGTGTTACATCCCTGAAAGTAGTTTGAGAAATGATTGACGTATTGATTCTGCTGACAAAGTCAGAGTTGAAAACCAAAATGCAGAAGTTACAGGGTGACTGTTCAGAGTTACGTCAGTGATTTAGAGGAAGCCCTGTGTACACCGAGCTACAATACTGACAGCACTATGTTTTAAACATGACACTGTATTGGGATTATTTTTGTTTTTGATCATATAAACAATATACATACAGATGATGCCAGAAAGGTCTAAGGATTAATGGCTGATGCATGTGGATTGGTTGCAGTCATGTGCAGCTTCCTTAAAAATTCCTACTTCTTTCCACTTCCTGCAGTGTCACTATGTTTCAAAACTATTCACAAAATCACCTATTGGTGGTGCTAAAGAGACAGTTGCGCCAAAACTATCAGCACAAAACTACAAAAACTAACAAGAATTTGCATGTATCGCACTGCACTAAGCACAAAAATTATAATTCACTGTACAATGTTTGCAATTCAAACTCAGAAATATTCATTGTATAGCAAAGTGTAAAGTGTTGAATGAGTGGGTGAAAGAATGATGTCAGATATAGCAAGCTGTTTTTGGTTTAATTAATCCAATGTGGTAGCATTGACATTTTTACACAAAATGTTGACTTCTAAAATTATAAGGAGGATCTATAGCTTTCATATAGTTTAAACATGCAACTACAAATGTGATCTTTATTTTTCTGCCGGGGATGGACTTCCATCAGTCCCTGGATCTGGACCATCCTCTGCATTGTCATTTATCATCTGCTTGTACTTACTCTCAAAAAATCCAGCCTAGAATTGCAAGGAAAAACATAAAAATGCACCAGTCATCCATTAAAAAGATTAGTGAAAATAACAAAGCTATCTGAGTGAATATACTAACCTTTAAACTATTTTTAACTGAACATGTTATCTAAAAACTTTAAAGCTGTTCAAGTAATTGAAAAAAAAAGTCTAAAAAGTGTATTTTACCTTATACAGACCAGCAGTGAGTAAAGCCAGAAAAGCCAACCCTCCCAGACATCCTCCAATGATCTCTTTGGTGAAATTTGCCTCAGAATATACTTCAACCACTGCTTCAAGCTGAGAGATAATAGAATATGGATTATATTCAAGATCTTTTACAACTCAGACAAGAGAAAAAAAAGATGTAATCACCTTGTGAACAGGAGGATTGTTGTTAGACACTGTTGAAAAGTAGATGTATTGGCTTTGGTCGTACTCCACAGTGGCTGTACTGGTCAAGAGGAATTTGGTAGATTGCAGTCCAATCTAAGAAAAATGGAACACAATGAGCCAAAATTGGGTGTTTTTTGATTTAATAGGAAACATACTTATGTTTAAAAAAAACCACACAAGTTATTAGTACATACTCAGGAACAAATCTTAATGAGACAACACAAACTTCCCTTCAACTACCTGCTCTATCCATTGTGAACTAATGTTGGCAGAGATTTCGTATGTCCTACTCTGCAGTCTTTTCAAGAATGAGTTGCACTTGAACACTCTGCACCTGGCTACAGAGCAGTCCTGAGGGTGAGAAAATGCAACATAAGCTGTGATCCAGTGTAATGTGATTTCTTTTTAAATCTACAATTAGGGTAAATATGAACAGTTAAGTACCAAGGCATACTTACCACCACTTTATTCTTTTGTATTTTTGGAACAAAATCTCTGACACTTGGTTCTTCATCATTTCCTCTCTGACAATCTGAAATCTGTGTTTGATTTATCAAATAAAAAACAGTTTGATAGTTTTATTAGTTCTAATTTCACCACATCCATCCATCCATATCAAAATTTAAGCCATTTGTGGAGTCAAAAACTAAAACTTCTGACAAATGTAATACCTGTAGACTGCTCAAATCCACCCAAATGTCTTTTTCACCAAGCTTCACTGGAACTTTGATCACCACAATGAAATTAAGCGCTCTGATATCGTTTGAAACCTAAACAAGTAAAGAAAAGGACAATCAACCATTAAATTTAGGTCTAAATGATACAATGGACTCATACAATGGAAAAATATAGATACAGTGTTGGGAAAAGTGATTTCCTATTTTTTTTTTTTTTGTATGTTTGTCACACAAATGTTTTAGACCATCAAACAACGTTAAATATTAGACAAAAATAACAAGTAAATACAAAAGGCAGTTTCTAAATGAAGGTGTTTATGTTTGAGAGGAAAAAATATCCAAACCTACATGGGCCCATTCATTGTTGCAGAATTGTTGTAATTCAGACACAATGGAGGGTTTTTGAGAATTAAAAACACCTTTGTAATGTCATATCACAGCATCTCTTTGGGATTCAGGTCAGGACTTGGACTAGGTGTGCTTGCTGGCGTGTTTTGCATCCTTGTCCTGCTCCAGAACCCAAATGTGCTTCAGCTTCAGGTCATAAACAGATGGCCCAACATTCTCCTTCATGATGTTTTGATATGTTTGTCTCATCAGTCCACAGAGTATATTCCCCAAAGTCTTGGGGATCGGTAAGATGTTTTCTAGCAAAACTGAAACGATCCTTTATTGTTCCTTTTGCTCAGCAGTTGTTTTAATCTTGGAGCTCTGTCATGCAGGCCATTTTTGCCCAGACTCTTTCTTATGTTGGAGTCATGAACTCTGACCCTAACGGAGGTAAGTTATGGGAGATCTCAATTGCTTTGTTTCTTGTTGGTTCTGGATTTTCCTTGAAACGCAGCATGATGTCTGACTGTTGAGGATCTTTTAGTTTACTTAATTTGTCAGGCAGGTCCCATTTAAGTGAAATAAGAAACGATATTGCAGTAATCAGGCCTGGGTGTGGCTAGAGGAATTGTACAACTTTCCAAAAATGTGATACACCACAGTTAACTTGTGTTATAAAATTAACATAAATGTTTTTTTCTATTATCTTGGTCTAATAACAACATTTTTTTGGATTATCTGATAAACATTTAAGTGTGACAGACATATACAAAAAAAAACAAACCAGTAACTCTGGAAAGAGGCAAAAACTTTTTCACACCACTGTAGAAGTTTAAATGTACCTTAACTGATTGTTGGACTGGTTTCTTCAAATCATTCTTCCCAAATGTGAAATTGTTGTAGCTTAGGGAGCTAAACAGATAATGTATATTTAATGTTTAAAATATATATAATACTTGTTATTACATACTTATTTGTTACTTACTACATGTAATTCTTTCTTTAGTTACAAACAAAACAACACATACCTTGCAAATGTCATAAAAATGCTGTATTTTACATTAATTGATTTCCTTTTGTAAAGTTCACTTGTAGGGGCATGCTCCTGATTTCCACTGAAAGAGAGAAGTGAACATATTTGTAATGTATACATGGGGCTGTTACTTAAATGAGGAAGGAACATTACCTGGTGGCATTTGCAGTGATAAAGATCTCCTTCTCAAATTGACTGTTTGTGTCAATCCCATAGGAGACAATGAAAGAAGCCTTAATTGAATGAGAAAGATGAGTGACTTCTCTTTGCCTTTAAATTGTGCAAAATTCAGAAAAAAAGAATTGATAAAAAAATGTTATTTACAAAAAAACACCTTAGTTTTGCTCTTGAAAATTGGCTTGTCAATAGTGCAGTCTGTCCATCCCCGGGATAAATCATCTTCACTGTCCAAGGAGTTGCACTCAATTCTTCCCTTTATTAAAAAACAAAATGATTCCTGGATGCATTTGAACAACAACAGATCAGTGATGAACCGATACAGACGTGATCCTAATGCCTTACCTGCTGACTCGTGAACTTCCTGTAGGACAGTCCAGCTGGGTACGTGAGAATAACATGGCTGTTGTAGGAGTTTTCTCCTCCGTTCTCCACTGTGACTGTGACATGCAGAAATTCATCAATGCCCACTTTAACCACTGAGGATCTGGTAGCACATGGAGAAAGTTGAGAAAAAGAGAGAGGAAACAAGGCTACAGTCATACTAATGCCACAGTGCATCAAATATAATGTACTTTGAGCTCTGATAAACCATGTTATTTTTCAGTTCAAACAATATGGCAACAATAGCTGTGCTCACACAAGCAAGCCTCACCTGGTGAAGCCGAAATCCACTTTAAGGTTATCAACACATCTGTTGTCAGTACCACAGTTGATCTCAAACCCTAACTGTGAAAGAGAGCAATATGGAAACGTAAATAAAGTATATATTATTTGCTTTATGAACTAGTAGATTTTAAACTGAACTGGGAGCCAATTAAGTGACTTCAGTACCAGGTTAATATGTTCAAATTTACATGTACATGTAAGGTCTGTGGCTGATATATTCCGAAAAAGTTGAAGTAATAATACGGATTATCTGGAAAATCCTGTAAATAAAATATCATCCCTAGTCTTACCTGCTTAAGCAGAGACTAATTTCTCTGAGTCAGTTTTAGCTGAGAATTATTTAATTTTTGATAAATATCTTTAAGTGATTAAAAAAAGAACTATCTGTGTGTCACGGTCCCCGTGCCTCACCGGCTGATTCCGTGTTAGGCAACATGTGTTCTTGTGCTCTCTCTCTCTCTCTCTCTCTCTCTCTTTCCCCGGTGCTCACTGTGGGCTCCACCCCTGGCCCACACACCTGTGCTCATCATCACACCTGGCGCTGGTTACCACAATCAGAAGGGCTTTTTAAGATGGCAGACCTACACTACTC